TCACAATATTGTCCTTAAAAAAAAAACGTAGAAAATAAAGAGCAAATACAGCACATAATACTACCAGCTATAATTATTACAGAATTTACCACAGCGTCTAGCAAACTATAGGTTTCTTTGAACATCTTTTGATATCATTAGTACAAATATAGACACATATGGAAGTTTCAAGAAGACTGCAAATATGACAAGAGCCATCAGAACAAATTTCATTTTAGGCTAATAAGAAATAATTATCTGGTTTTGCATAGATATTTAACTTCATATTGTTTTTCTTATTACTTTTTCTTTACTCTCCCAGCAGAATAGCAAAGTTTCCTTTGAACGCCACAAAAAAATGTTTATATACTGAAATGTTCTTCTATTTTAGAATTATATTAGTGATTCTTTGAGAAGATTTTTATGCTTTTAAAATCTTTTCGCCATCTTCTTCCAATAGTTTTGCTCTATCATTATATACTATGAGGCAATGACATAAAGTAACCTTAGAATAATCATGCTTTTCTGTTTTGGACTGTGCAAGCTCTGCTTTTATAGTGAACTATCCCTCACCCCTCAAAAGGGCAAAGCTGGTTTAGGCTCCCAGAAATCATTGTAAAAGAACCTGACTTAGTAAACTTACAGATAAATAATTAGTGGCTTGCTTTTTGTTACTTTTCTATGATATTTACATGCCAAGTCAGGTCTCTAATAAGTTATCTGACAGACAAGCATGTGCATGCACTAAAATTACTTAAATATTGATGGATAGGACTTTAATATCTATTTCTAGTCAAAGACAGAGAAGTGAGAAGATATATTTACAGCTATATCTGATAAGTGAATAAAAGTGGACTGTTTCCCTACTTCTGATTAGGAAATATGGCTTCAACCTGTTGTGACTACTTTCTGTATGTATCCATTAAAAAGGAGGTTATTGTATTCACAAACAGTAAAAACCCCCTTAGGTTTTAAACTTCAACCCTTTGTAGTGCATGGCTTATTCAAATAGTTCAAATAATTAATCCACATCTCATTTATGGAAGAAAAGCGAAAAATACTTCAAAAGTAATTCAGCACCAGAATTTTGTATTACCCATTTCCTTCCTCTTGACTTTTAACTCTACAGCAATTGCTCATGTTCTTACTGTATGTATTGCACTTCAGATATTAAAAAAAAATTATGTAATTAAGTATACTGTAGTCCAGATATTATTAGGAACACAAACTCAATCTTCCATTTTTTAAAAGTGATATTAAAATTTTGACTTATAACTTTTGACTTCCAGAGGGAGATATTTATTATTTTTTTATTTATCTTTTATATCTATTATCAGTGAAAGCAGCAGGTTTGAAATTAGCTGGGTAAGAAAGTGACCAGATGAATTTTATATTAAAAGCTAAGGAAAGATGAATCAAATGTGAGAGGTGTTACTTGCAAATTTTACCTCTTTCCTTCAAGAGTAAAAATACTCAAATTTTTCTGTATTACAACAATACTTTTAAAGAACGCCTTGTGCCATCTCTCTTTGAAGACAAGTTGAACAATCTTTATATAAGTGTGGAATTTTTAATTCAACATATGATCTTTTAAAATTGATTTACAATAATACTTACCCGAAGAACATCATGTTATTAGTAATTAGTTTGGACTTTATATATTTTCCCGTGTCTTACAGAAATTATTCAAGTAATATAATTTTAAACAATTTCACTTTCTGTGTAAGTGACAGGGACTGAGGCATTACGTGCATGCATGTGTGGGTAAACATGTTTCTGTGAGGTTATACCTCAGCTGGGCAATCCTATAAGATGCTGCAGTGTACTTGTAAACAAGGCCATTTACATACTTTTGGAAGATTTAGTCCAGTTGATTTACAATGCCTTCTAACTTTACAGTTTTCTTAATTTCATAAGATTTTTGAGCAATTACTTGCCCTAACTCCTTTCAATTGGCCTCCTATTTTTCTGTTTAAATTCCATGTTTGCCAGCTACTTAGAAGAGCCAGACCTATCACATACGGTGAAATGAAAAATAAAGTAATGTAGTACGATTTCCATGGAAAAAATAGATTCCAAAGTTAGCATCCAAAATCTCTAGTGTCTCACATGAAGACCTAGTCGAGGTTTTTGAAACCAGGCCTAAGTACTTCATATTTCTCCAGGATGTATACGTTCCTGCAACTCGGAGCAAATTCCACAAAACCAAGTCTGCATCGTGATAAAGATTTATCTAACTTCTGCTGTTACCTCAGATAACAGGTCTAGACTTTTGATTGGCTATTTCACTATTATCCAATTCTATTGTTTAGTTATTACAAAATCAGAGGATCAGAAAATGGCTGGTCTCAGAAGGTACCTCTGGAGGTTGACATGTTCAACCTCCTTTTCAAGCAGGGTCACCTAAAGCTGTTTTCCTAGGATCGTGGCTAGACAGCTATTGAATATCTCCAAGGATAGAGACTCCACAACCTCTTGGCTACCTTGCTAGTCCTGGGTCACCTCGTACTGGAGAAGTGTTTCCTGATATTCAGATGGAACTTCCCATGATTCGATGTGTGCTCATTGCATCTTGTTCTGTTACTGGATATCACTGAAAAGAGCCTACCTCATTGTCTTTGCACTCCTCCACTTGGTTTTTGTACACATTGGTAGGATCAACTCTGACCCTTCCCTCTCCAGACTGACCCGTCCCAACTCTATCAGCCTTTCCTCATATGTCCCTTAAAAATTTCATGACTCTCTGTTGGATTGTCTCTAGCAGCTCCATATTGCTTCTTATTTTGCCTCTCGGGTTTTTTTTTTCCTTTACTTATGGGTGATCCATCTTATTTTTCACAGAAAAGTTTTCCAATCTTGGGTGTTTTCCACACGGGAACATGATTTTGACCTGTCTATTGTAAGATCTAGCCAGTCAGTTAATATAACATTAATGTTTTGACCCAGCTGGACTGAGAATAAAAATTTGATTGAATTACATACTGAAGAGCTCCTAAAATCTAATCCATTTAATGGGACACTATTTAAAAAACAAATATTTGCTTGTTAAATATGCTCAAACATGGGTGAATTCTAAGCATGTGTGATAATACCTTATTTAGAGATTTTGTTTTTATTATAGTAGTATTGGTATAATGGCAATATTTGGTGAAGGGTTATCACCTTAGATGTTGTACATTTTATTTCTCTTTCAGTCTTGAAATGTTGAGAACGTGCAAAAATTTATTTGTTAAAACTGAACAGGTCTACCATATTTCTAGAGTGTTAATGAATTGTGCATTTCTGTATGCATTGTTCCAATGTTACTGTATTGTTAAATGAGAACATAATTTCAGAGTTGTTTTGTGAGACAAATTTTATGGTCTAGATTGTATTTCAGCCTGGATTCCTGCTACTAACATTGCTTTATATGAAAACTCTCATATGGGGAAATTCTGGCAGGACAGTTTTTGCTTTCTTTCCTCCTATGTACTTTACTAATGTGGTGGAGTGTTTTCAGAGTAATTCCTGCAAACTCAGTAAAAGGAAAAAATGCAATAGTTACATGAGATACCATTGGGATGAAAATTTGAAACATAAGTAAAAGCAGATTTCCTTTAAGTGTCTCACTTTCAGAGCTGGATATCAGCATTCCAAGTACATTAGATGAGATATTTCATTACCTTTAATGTTGTTGGTAATCATGTCTATCTACTGAGCTATAAAAATATGTAGCAATTAATACTAATTGCCTACTCAGCTGTATTTGCAGTCCTGTAAGTTCATAAGTATTTACTCATGGTTTGTGTTGTACAACTGTAAAAGACATTTGGTAAGAACAGCAGCCTGGTTGTAGAGGGGTAATTTAAAAAGTGATCTTACAACTCCAGGTTTTGAAGTCACATTTTGACTGTTTAGATTAAAATGGCTGATCTTCCTTATACAGCATTAGACTACTTTGTTATATTATTTGGTTATGATTCTTACTGTTCTTAATTGAATAAGGCTAGAGGGAAAGGGCAGTTTTTGTGGCTTGGTTGTGAGTATAATTTTTTTCATTTGATGCATGTCCTTCTTTCAAAGGAAGACATTTTTTAAATTTTTATTTTTAGTTCTTTCTACACTGACCCAGTTCTGAAACAAAATCAGTTTTATGCATAAATGAGAAAAACAGTGCACAACATTCATTTTAGGTAGAAAAGCAGTGCAAGTGATAGAAATTTCCCAGACAAGACCAGTCTATTCTAAGAACTCACTTCTTGAATTGTTTTAGCTTCCCATATTTCTGGTTTTGGGCAGTATCTTCAACCTGAGCCAAATTTTGTTAAATGATTATTTGTATATGGATGATTGTCTATTGAAGCACAGGTCTAAGACCAAACTAGTTTCATCTTTGTATTGCACCTGATTATAAAGGCATGATACAAGCCCTCTCAGATAGTAAATACAATCCTGTTTATCAGATGGAAAATAGCACATGTACTAGAGTTATTATGTTGTTTGTACAATGGCTGCTAATAGTAGTTCCTATGGTATTTTTTTCCAGTAAGACCAAAAGGATGCTTCTGACAAAGAAAGTGTCTCCTTTTGGTTGTCGTGATGGCAGAGTATTCATAAACACAGAATTAAGTTCAGATTTCTCCAGTTAAGTTGAGTGTTATTCTTCAAAATGCAAAATAAGCAAAAAGATTCTGAATGGATCTGTAAATATATCTTCTTTCACTACGCTGATGTATTAAAATGTCATGTGGTTAGCTATGTGATGTTCTCCCTTGCTAATGTATGCAGAGATATTTTTGTACCCTTCTGAAAGAGAGAGACAGAGAAAAGAAGGATTTCATAACAGAAAAAAATATCTTGGTATGATGTTATCAATCATTTCTGCATTAATAATTATTGTGTTGCCATAGTTTTGAAATAGTTCCCATTTCCAATAAGTATATGTATAATTATATAACTCAAGTGTATTATAAAATTTGAGCATCGTAACATACCATCTTAGATATTGAATGAAACTAATTTTGTCTTTCTCTATTATTAAGATCCAGATTTTAAGGACCTTGGTGTTTTGAAGCCATTGCCAGGTTGGTATGTTGTTTTTGGGTTTTTTTCTAACTTGGAGGCCATTATACTCTGCTGTAGAAAACATTTTTGTTTGCTGTTCAGGTTTCATTTTTTCTGGTGTTTTGTTATTCAGTTTGTGAGTTTGAGATGGGAGGACCTGAAGGAATTGTGGAATCTGTACAAATTGTTAAAGAAGGAAAAGCTTCTGAAACTGAAGCAGTAGACTGTAAATGGTACATCCGAGCACCACCCCGATCCAAGGTCAGTCCTTCATCCACTTGCTGATTTGCCATTTAATTTAAGAAATTGCCTTTTCTAATATATTGTGCATTTCTTAGTACAGTCAGATCTTGTTTAATAACTTTACAGCTTGAACTGTAAACTATTTTTTTCCTTCTGCTGTGGAAGGGTAATTTGTCATCTCAGCCAAAATAACCACCTTTCTTCATAAATGATGATTTGGGCAGTACTAATGTATATTTTGTGCCATAACTAATTTTCTTAAATTCATCTTTAATTTTGCTCATATTTTTAAAGAATCTATGTGTGTTTTAAAGTTGGAAATAATCTTATAATTTAAATTTTCAATATGTTTCAAATACCTAACAGACACAATTAAGGGAGCACTGCTCAGGCTCCCTGAGGTCATCATTTTTTCTCATCTGGGAAGTGTGAAAATGGACCTAAAGTAAATTAACGTTCCTCCATATGAAGCCTTTATTCCTTTGGTTTAGAGACAGAGACAAAAAGAGTATTCTCATTTCTTTTCCTCCACAGTCAGCAAGCCAGGGCTTTGTAAGAAACATGAGAGGGCTGCAATGAATTAAAAAATACTTTTCTTGGATTCCCCTTGATTTTCTCCCTTATCCATAACTTAGCAGTTATGATATGCATTAATTGTTGCTGGCTACACTACCACTTCTCCCCTCTTTGCAATAGGAACAGCTTTATGCCTCCCACCTCCTTCCATTCACTGTGTAAAAGACACCCCACAGTATACTTTTTCTAGCTGTCTTTATTGGACAGGAAAGATTTTAGAAAGTAGAATTTATATATGCACTACTCTCTGCTGTCTTTAAACTGATCAAGGCTTTTTTTGTATAACCTCAGTGAGGAGACTGCACTGAATATGTAATTGTTTCATCATCAAAATGACACATGGATAAATGTTGAAGGGTTCTCTTCAGGAAAGGTTTTCAGAAGAGAAAAAGTCATTAGTATCAGCATTTTTCTATTGGGAAAGTATAGGAAAAGAGCTGGCTCACAAAGACTACAGATAAATGATTTCCAGAATATACTTTCATCTTATAACATTTTTTTATTTTTTTTTTACTTTTGGATAAAATTAATATTGATAGAGGTTTTCAATTAAGTAGATGAGCTTCCCATTTTGTTACACTAAGTAGTGAAATGAAATGATTGGACTGATGAATGATTATTCCATGTGTTATAGGCAGTTTATATTCATTCAGCACAAATCCCAGTATCGATATGAACTTCAGATGGAGAGCAGCCCAGCTGATAAGGTTTTGGGGATTCTGGTGGATAAGAGGCTGAACATGCCCAGAAATGTACACATCCAGCCCAGAAAGCCAATTGTGTCCTGGGCTGCATCCAAAGCAGTGTGGCCAGCAGGGCGAGGGAGGAGATTCTGCCCTTCTGCTCTGCTCTGGTGAGACCCCACCTGCAGGGCTGCATCCAGCTCTGGGGTCCCAGGACAGCAAAGACATTGACCTCTTGGAGCGGGTTCAGAGGAGGACCACAAAAAAAGTGAAAGGAATGGAGAACCTCTCCAGAGATTAAAGTTTATTCTGTCCAAAGAAGAGAAGATTTTGGAAAGACCTTATAGCAGCCTTTTAGTACTAAGGGAGAGCCTGTAAGGAAAAAGTGAACAAGCATTTTATCAGTAGTGGCAAGATAAGGTGTTTTAACCTAGAAGAGGAGAGGTTTGGACTAGGTATGAGGAAGACATTTTTACAATGAAGGTTGTGAAACGCTGGATCATGTTGCTCAGAGAGTTGGTTGATGACCATCCCTGGAAACATTCAAGGCCAGATTGGATGGGGCTCTGACCAACTGGATTTAGTTGAAAACATCCTTGCTTACAACAGGGGAGTTGGACCAGTTGGCCTTTATACATTCCTTCAAATTTAAACTATTCTATTTAGGTATTAGTAGAAATGAAAGAGACAAACACAGAGTTGTTATTAGAATCAGCACAGTTAATTAAGACAATAGCATTTCCTTATAGTCTAAATTCAAGTTTATGGTTGATCATATAATGTAATTGTGATATTCTTACTTGGTCTGACTCTGAAGTTCTACATGATTCAAAGCCCTGCTAAAAATCACAATTTTACCTACCTGTAGTATTTATCCATCCTTCAGTTCTAATGTAAAACTCCAAATTAGGTATTTATGTAACTGCAAATACATTGTGTATCAGAAAATTGCCAAACTAGCACTCTTAGTAGAGGGCTAAATTTAAAGTTCATTAATTCTTCCATAAACTTCCATATCTGCATTTAGTTGTGCTGCATTCCAAAAAGCATATCCTAGCTGAAGGGTACCTGGAATGGAGAGCAACAAGAAAGTTTTAGAAAAATGAAGTAATACTGAATGTTATTTGACGTCATCTAGAAGATTTTGTGAAGGATAGTAATACAATACAATAACAGGCTCTTAGAAGGAAGAAGGAATGTTGTGCCTGTGTCTGTAAGATTTCTCAGGGTCCTACACTCTAAAAGAATGTTTCAGATTAAATACAAAGGAAGAAAATTCAAACATCAGGGAGAGCTGATTGGTTCAGCTGGCATTATTAGTGGTCTGAAAGTGCAGGTTAGATAACAACTTGTGAAAAATGAGAGAAACATTAATAATCCTACCTTTAGGCAGAGGGCTGAAGTGGGTCATCTCTTGATGGATCCTGCTGTTCCCATCTTACAGAATTACCTGTGTGGAGAGATTGAGCAATATAAAATTATATAATTCAGTGTTTCCTAATGTGGAGTTGAAAGGTTTCACAAAAAGCAAAAAAGCAAAAAAAACCCAAAAAAAACCCCAAATAAACAAAGAAAAAAAAATATATATTTTTCAAGCCTAGATCAATCTTTGGGGGGTAAGCTCAATTTAGCATTTGAACTTGAGTGTAGTTGTCAAACAGATATATTTATGTACACACAGACAAGTAAATACATGCATAGACACACACACACACATACAGTTATGGTTTCATCATACTGGGACAAGTTGAAAAATATGCAGATATTAAGGAAGGAGGAACAAGTGGATAAAATTTTAAGAACTTTGTATGAAGTAAGGTTTATGATAAGATTGTTTATGGATTCACTTCAATTGAACTAGAATCTACTGTCCATTTTTTACAGTCAGCTTCCTTTGTCTCTATCTAACCTTGAATTAATGACATATTCAGTACAGATATTTAATGACATCATTTTTATTTATGTCAGTTTGCACCTATGAAAACAAGCTCTCCTGCAAAGAACAGTGAGAACTCAGCAGACATCTTTAAACCCACATGTTCCTGTACCCTGGGCTGCACAGTTTGTTACTGGGAATTATGCCTAAAAGGCAAGAGTTTCTCAGAGAGAATTTGTGTTGGATTTTTTAATCTTTAGTTTCTTAATTAAACTGTGCCAGAATGTGAGTTGCTTGCAATTTCATTTGGCGTAAGCTCATCCAGTCTAAACTGTCTGCAGAAGCAAGTCCTTCCCTTGGTTTCCAATTCCAGATTCCAGCCAAGTCTGAGCTCAATATATGAGCAATGAGATCAGCCAGGAAGTGTATATTTAAGGTCTCTAAGCTGGAGCTTCAAACTGACAGTCTGGGTCTAATGCTTCTATGCTCAGTATTCTGGAATGGGACAGAGAGCAGAAAATTTGTTGCACACACTTAAAAGATAGCCATCACTGTTTACCTTATATCACACACACACACACACACCCTGACACAGACCCACACACAGAGAAAAATAAATCTGAAATGCATGCCGAACCCAAACATTCTCTAAGTGCAGAAGGCAGTCTGAACACAACTTATATGCAGAGCTAGAGTCTTATATAGTGAAAGTGACTAGTTGTAAAGTCTGTGGTTCTTGTAATCATTCAAAGTCAGTTCCTGCTGAGTAAGACAGCTGTGAGTTTTGAGTGGAGTAATACTGCGGTTCTGCACGTCATGTGGCCACAATTAGTATTCAGAGCAAGAATGGAAAATTAAGAAGAGAGCTGCTGACTGAAAGTGCCAACTCACCCAGAACAAAAAAGTTCTGGAGGAATTTCCTGATATGAAAATACTTCAGTGTAGAAGAATTTCCTTCTTTGGGAACTTCCTTCCCAAAGAAGGAAGTGTATAAGCTTGTTGCACAGTGATTTGAAAAATTTCAGGGACATCATTCAGTGCAAGCAGTGGATACACAAGGATTTTGTATTTAGGACTAGAAAGTAAGAAAATGAATAGAATTATAGTTTTCTTGCTTTCTGTTAACAGTGAAGTATTGGAAGATAATCTCAACAAGTGTTTTTCTATGTTGGATGGGTCAGCATAGTTTGACAAAGCCCCCAGGAAGACAAAGCCATATTTGCGTTCTCTTTGGTGGGTAACTTCCCCAGCAAAGTACCTTTCTGTCGTGCTTGTTCTTTGAGAAGCTCTGTAGAAAAAATAACACAGTAGAACTTGATAGTAAGAGTAATAAAATATTTACAAATATGATATTCTTAACAGTAAGCAGTGCTGTTAAAAACACCATTTATTATCAGACGCTCTCAGGCACCTCAGAAAACAGAATCAAAACAGGAATTAATTTGAATGTAGTCCAGTGGCAATAATCTGTTCTGGAGGAATAAACAATAAGTATATTTAGACTGAACGAATAGTGGGAGTAGCCTCTTTATTTGCACCATGAGAAATAAAATGAAATTACAAGGTAGTTAGGCAAAGTGATATCTAATTCTCTTGGCCATCCTGAACAGGATATTGGACAAAGGTTATAGCTTGCAAGAGACTTAACACAAGAGATTAAGGAAAGCCAAAGTGTCAATTAATTAGTATCTAGATTTGACAAATCGTGGCATCATCCTTAACCCTGAGCTGCCAGGGAGTGGTGGCATCTGTTTCAAGCAGAGCCATTGGGGAGCAGTGTGAAGGGGATACCCAGCACATGGGAGGGGACTGGGATGAGGGAGGCCACAGTGCCAGGACATGACTAATGAGGCTGGGACAGGCCTGGCCTTGGTGGCTGGACT